CACATTAAGCCACATAAAGTAGAGCTGACTGGCACTGACTGTAGGGAGAAGGAAATTTTAGTGTTTAGGGACCCCTTTGTGTGCGTTCAGTACTTTGTGAGTGTGTGTGTGTTGTGTGTGTTTTTAACTGGTACTTTGCCCCTGTCGACCTTTATCCTGAGCCGCACCGATTTCCCCACTGCTCATCTGTGAAACAAGCTGAGATGTGTGCACTCTGTATCCTACAGTCAGTGTTTCATTTCTATTTGGGAGGTTTGCAGGGGCACAATAAGTTCACCAAGTGCATTAAGAATCAGCTTACCTGACGACAGATGACAGCATCCGAGAGTTCATGTCCTCTCTCCGGCTGCTCATCTGTTCTGCATCAACCACTCACGTAAGGATAGCAAGTAACATATTTTAAAGACTGCTAAAAACATGGAAATTAATTAATAGTGTAAAAGTGTACAGCAGATTTATAAGAGCACAAACCAGCCCTCTTGTGGTTATGAGTCAAAATTACAGCTGCACGTGTGCTGGAGACAGATTATCAAAGTACTTAGAAAATAGCCTGACCAAAGGGTATCTTAGCTTAGTAGCTACATGAAATCAGGGGGAAATACTACATAGACTGTACATTAAAGATGATACATAGTTGAGGCCCACTGTCTGTGGACTTTGCAAGACACACACTAATTAGTGCTAAGCTATAACTATGGGCTCAAAATGTGGTCATAAATATTTTGTACTTGTAAATCAGTTTTGTATGTGTAAAAAGAATTATGTGTGTGTAAAAAAGATTTGTGTGTGCGTAAAAAAAGATTTGTGTGTGGACTTAGCCAAAAAAAACCCTGCAAGTTACAAGTACGAACTTTGACCCTATTTTTCTTCCTTTCATCTGATTGGTGAATGTCATGTCAATCACAAATGTAACAATTCAATCAGAGAACAGATGGGTTTGGCTGTCGGAGGGGCGCTTTTTTTGAACTGCAGGTCCTTGAAGGGAATAAATGCCCTTTTACATACCAACACAGCGTTTTCCTTCATCACCACAAAGGAAAACAGTCTGTGGTGGTCCGAATTTGGTGATTTTTGTGTCACGGGACTACGTGTTTAACACAGGAACTTCCACAGCCTTTTCAACAGTGCTGCGGACCGTGTTTTGGAAATGACAGTCTTCATTACAAAGCTTTCTTCGTTATGAATTAGCATACATGTTTTTATTGAACATTTGAAGAACTAGCAAAAAAAACCCA